CACTGCCCCTCCTTGCACCCCAAACCCTCCCTCAGGTCTCCCACCATGCTCACAACCACCCCCTGGGCATCCAGCTCCTGAATTCCCACTTAATTTCCTCTAAAACATGCCATTGTGGACCAGAAAAAGGAACATTTCCAACACTGACGTCCAATTGTCACTGAAGGCACTTGGCTGTGCCTCTGTTTGGTCTCAGGGTGTGCCCAGGAATCTCCTGCCACACCTCCCACCTGGTCCTACCTGGCAGCCCAAAGGCTAGGGATAGTGAGCAACACCCAAACCCATTCAATCCAAGTATTGTGCCATGGGAAAAGCCTTCACAGAGCAAAAATGCAGCTGCTGAACTCATCAATGGGAACAGCTTTTCTGCAGTGGTGGTTCCTTACGCTTAGCAGGTCTCTGCATCTCTGGCCAGGCTGAGGAACAGCTCCTGCACCTCCAGGGCTCTGGGATGATGGTCACTGCTCAGGAAGGCAGAGATCTTCTTCAGCTGCAGGTCTGGAATGTTGGGGTGACAGCCAGAGTGCCTCTTGTGCCTTTCCAGGGGTTCCAGGTGTGCTGGGAAGAAGTCAAGATCACTAATGCTCCGTGGAATCCTGCAGAGAAGAGAGTGACCCTCAGCCCCTGTTTTGCCAAGTTTCTTCTTGCTGTCAGCTCTGGATTATCCAGTGGGAATGTCAAAAGACACTTTTTAAACCACAATATTCTGCAGGTTCATGGCTAGGCCAGAGATGGTTAAACACAGTCCACAAACCAGTGCAAGGCTCTGGTGGTTTGTGCATTGTTTTCTGTTGGTGCTCCCAAATCAGAGGCTTTGCTCCCTTCTCCTCCACTGAAACATCAGGAATGGCACAAAAGCATCAGGAAAGGCATAAAAAACACCAGGAATGGCACAAAAACCATCAGAAATCTCCAAGCAGTGACAAGAGTGAAGTGCTGAGGAACAGCCTGGTGCCAAGGCAGATGGAGGTGGGAATTGCAGCCAGTCCTGGGAGCAGCTCCCAGTTTCCTGCCCTGTGACCCACAGCCACACGTGCTGGGATCAGGATGGGTGTCACAGGGCACCAGGACCTCAAACCCAGGAGAGTCACCCAACTGTCACAGGTGAGCACAGGCACAAGGTAACCTCACTCCCCCTCAGCAGCCCTTGCTCAGGTGGGCCAGAAACAAACTGACCTGCACTTTACCCCCAAACCATTCCTTCCTCTGCCTCAGGAACACCAGGAGAACCACAAACAGCTTCCCACAGCACAAACTTTTGTCTGGACATACCTTCCCTGGAGTCTTGGAGCTGATCCTGGAAACTCAGCTCAATTCTTCCATGTGCAGTTCGCATTGATGTCTCAGGGGCTGTTTGACCAGGGCTCAGCAGCACCTTCAGCCACTCCCTCAGGTGCCACCTGATGTGTCCTGGAGTGTCCTCAGCAAGGGCCAAGGAACATTCCCAGATCCCACTGTCCACCAGGAATGTTGCAGCTCCTGGGTCAGCTCAGTTTCAGGCAGTTATTTCCCCCCCCCGCCCACAATCAGACCAGTATCTCCAAGTGAAATGATCCCCAATCAGTAGAAAATTCCAGAAATCCCACAATTTTGAGAGCCCCTGCACAAAGGCAGAACTTCCAATAGACCCATCCCAGTCCTATCCATGCACAGACACTAGATCAATTCACTATTGCTAATCTTTAAACAATTCCAGAGCAATCATTTCCCAGCAGTGCAAGACCTGTCTGAAAATGACTCCTGAACAATCCCATTT